TTATTTAATGATTATTGCAAGTCACATGGGATCCAACATGAGATGATAGTTCCTGGTACACCTCAGCATAATGCAATTGCAGAAAGGATTAACCACACCATCATGGAAAAGATCAGATGCATGCTTTCACAGGCCAAACTACCCAAAAGGTTTTGGAATGAGACTTTGAGGACTGCAGTTGATGTGATCAACTTATCACCATGTACAGCTCTAGATGGTGATGGTACAGAGCATGTATGGTTAGGGAAAGATGTTTCCTACAGGCATTTGAGAGTGTTTGGTTGTCGTGTATTTGCACATGTTCCAAACAATGAGAGGTCCAAGCTGTATGGTAAGACTAAAGAATGTATTTTTCTTGGTTACTTACATGATCAATTTAGTTACAGGCTTTGTGATCTTGAAAAGTAGAAGGTGTTCGGATACAAAGATGTGGTCTTCTTTGAGGATCAAACTATTGAGGATTTGAAGAAGAAGACACAAGCCAAGACTTTTACAGAAGGATTAGTAGATTGTGACTTAGTTACTCCTCTAGTATATCAGGGTGATAGGAGAGATATGCAGGAAGATAGTGTAGAGCCTGATGTTGATATACCTGCAGGACATGTTGAGCAAGAAGAAGTTGGAGAGCAACTTCCCGCAGAACCTCAGTTGAGAAGATCCTCTAAACAACGTCAACCTTCCAGAAGATATACTACAGATGAGTATGTGATGCTTACTGATGCAGGTGAACTAGAGAGTTACCAAGAAGCAGTTGAAAGTGAGCAGAAAGAGAAACAATTGCAGCTTCAAAAAATTCACACAAATGACAATAGAGTAGACATATTGACAAAGACCTTACCAAAAGAAAGACAAGAGATATGCCGATAGTTGGTCGGCATGGCTTCACATTGAGGAGTCATGGGATAGCCTCCCTTATGGGCTGAAGGGGGAGGTTGTTGGGCTGACAGCTCATATTCAGCCTAAAGTGAGCTTTATCAGTCCACAGCTCATCCTCTCTTAACCTAACCCTAATTTATATTAGGGGGGTATGGTGGCTATAAAAAGAGGTAGAAAAATGTAGCAAGAGGTAGTTTTTGGCAGTCATAGGATTCCAAAGAAAAGGAGGAGAACAAGGCAGAAAAGGAAGAAAAAGAAAGGGCAGAAGACAAGGACAACACAAAGAGGCTGTTCTCAATCATCTAGCAATGCTTTCATCTCAAGTTAGATCAAATCTACAATAGATTCTTACTGTGATTACTTGGGGAGAATTAGGGAGGATTTTGATATTGTGCACAGTGACGTGATCCTTGTATCCCAATTATTCTTTTATGATTGTTGCTAGGGTTTTAGACAAGAGATTGAGATTTGTATATTCATTATTCTTATAGTGGATTATCTCTAATTTATTCTGTGGTTTTTACCCTTCACAGTGGAGGGGTTTTTCACGTATATCTTAGTGTTTTATTTGATTGTGGTTCCATTTAATTCCGCTGTGTATTATGGCATGCTAGTATTTGTTCATATACAAAAGTTATTTCTCTTTATATCTCATCAAAGAGAGCTTAACAAATCGAAGAACATGACCAAGCAAGTGAACATTACTTATCAAGGAAGTAAAGGAGAATAAAATCGGTGTGAATCCCATAATATGATGGCAGAGGCGGGAGTTGAAATTTATCTTTTCATTGACTAAGAGGAATTATTTGGAGAACATAAATGTATTGAAGTAGATGATCAAAAGAGACGAGGAAGCGACGATGAGTCTCAATGAACTTAATTACCTAAAACCAAACGTCGATAAGGATTGAGGTAAACTAAGAGGAGTACCATAGTGATGCAAAAGCAGGTCTACCGATCACAAAGAAAGGGATGCAGACGTGAGATGACAAATAGTAAGACCATGGGAATGGCAACGCTATGGTACCACAAAGGCAGGACTTTTGTACAGTCATCAATCTCTTGCTCTCATAGAGGGAGAGTGCTTCATCATAAAAGAGACTAAGGAGGTGAAGAATACAGAGGCAAACTCTAAATACCAAACCAAAGCTGAAGGGTAGAGGTAGAGGCTAGAAAACTTTATAAGACTAGTGTCAACGAGTTTCTTATCAAGATTGTTGAAAGTGAGAGACTTCGAGTCAATGTATGAGTGTGCGACCAAGGAATATAGTAGATAGTACTTAAAGGAATAGGCGATTGAGATGACACAGAAGATGGCGCAACCCCACAAGTAATCATAATTATCAAAGACTTGCTATGAGTCGAGGTAAAATTTTACTTTTTTTCGAACAAAACTTCTTGCATTTCAAATAGTCGATGATAATGAGAAGACAAATTATAATAGCTAACTCAATATAATGAGTGTAAATACTTTAGGTGTCTTAGAAGTACGAGCAAAGAGGAAACGAAGGCTAATAACCAGCTTAATGTATAAAGTAGAGCCTTAAGGAGGCGGGCAAAGTTAAATAAGCTTTGCCTTTTAAACTTATATGAGAATGGACGAAACTTTGTACTCTAGTTCTCTTACTTATTTAGCAAAAGATCTTTGCAATAATGAAAGACAATAATTATCAAATCCTCACCAACGATGAACCTAATTGAAGGTGACAATTAAGAAGAAGAGGAATTGATGAGTAAATTTTGTAGAGGAGAGACCATAAAATTTTAAAGTACGTGAGGTGATTCTTATTAAAGCTCTAACAAATACCTATTCAGTTAAAACAATGTGAAACGTTTAAAAACTTAACGCATAAAAAGAAATATATTTTTTTTCATCTAAAGGATTTATAGGAACCCATAAAATATACATAAACTTAAATGATCTTATACCACAGTCAAAGTTATTAATGAGTTAAAATGATATTGACATATCAAAATTCAACTACTTAGATAAAAAGTCACTTTGAGCTATGTGACACATTAAATTAGAGTAAAATATTAAAGATTCAGCAAGCTCACAAATTAAAAACGAACCAAACTTATCAGATCCATCGAACGAACCAAACTTCTCAGATAAAAAAAATGGTATCCTCAAAACTCGTTCGCTCCCACCGTCCCCAAGCCCACTTCTCCCCCTCCCAGTATTAAGCCTCACCTTTCGTCCTCATCATTATTTCTGACAAAAGGTGATAAAATATTTATCCCTAATTTTTTTAGTCATTAACTTTCTCAACTGAAAAAAGCACAAGTGACAATACTAGATGAAAATAATAAAAACATAATTTTATTATCTTTATATTATTAATTTTATATAAAATTTTTAATTGATTTTCTCTTGCCCTTGTCGTTCCAATCTACTTGCTTATCGCTCGTTACACCTGTTGATACTATTCGCCCGTCACATTTGTCGCTCGCTGCTTGCTCATCACACTTGCTCACTCGTCGTTCGTTGTTCGTCTACCGCACCTGCTCACTCGTCACTCGCCCGTCACCCTTCTTTTCAACTTGCTTTTCATAATTTTTACTATAGGTAAAAATTGTTACTGTGATTATTATGTTTTATATGTATATTTAATTATAATTTTACTACAGATGTAGCAAGAAAGTGTCATCTTAAACAACTTCCAACAAAAATAAAAGAGTCAAACTCCAACGAGGCATGACAAAGTTTTTGTCATCGTTATCGCCTTCATGTCGGTATAAGCTCATATAAGCAAATGAACCAACTTAAGTGTAATTTTTGTTGGCTTGCAATTACTCTGCTTAAGTTGCGATATCTCGATCCGATGAGTCTCATACAAACAAAGTTACAAGGAGAAAGCAAATGTACAAAAGTATTCTATGAGCTCCGCAACAAATGACACAAAACGATAGATCTACTTTTTCTTTCAAAGATGATTGGAAATAGCACATCGATTTCAGCAATGTGTTGATGTTGCCACATATTTTTATTTTGTCATGCCACCTTGCAAATGAAATAAGATTTTTCATCCAACACGAACACTTCGATTTCATACAAGAAAATGAGAGAAAAAAAATAATTTCTCATAATTTCATTTTAAAAAAAATTGGATGCAGCCAACGAGTGATGGATGAGTAGGAGTGAGCAGGTGTAACGAGCAAGTTGAGTGTAGCGAACGAGTAGGTACGACGGGCAAGCAGGTGTCGGAGAGCAACGAGTGAGTAGGTGCGATGGGTGAGCTAGTGTGACATGCAAGTGGTGGGCGAGTGGCGTGCGATAGGTGCAATGGGCCAGTAGAATCAGGTACTGTAGGTTGGAATGAAGAGGGGAAGAGAAAATCGATCATAAAAATTTATATAAAATTAATAATTTAAAGATAATAAAATTATATTTTTATCCTTTCCATTCATGTCCTCTTTTTTACACATGACAACTCGTGCACTTTTTTTGTCGAGAAAATTAACGACGTAAGAAAAATTAAAATTAAATATTTTATTTTCATAAATATAGATACTCAATACTATTATTAAAATATATGGATTAAAATATTAATCATAATTAACTATATAGGGTAATATGTAATTACCCCTCCTCCCAATCTAAAATATGAGACAAGCATGATATATATGAAATAAAAGAAAATGATTGCTTATTGCTTAATTTAAAATTCTGAAATAGGCTCTAAGCATAACAATAAATTTAGTTATATAGTCTCAGTTGCGTCGCATTCTTCTTTTTATCAGTATCAAGCATAACAAACCAACTCTATCTCTCTGTTTGCAACCTTATAAGTCATACCTAAATAAATTATAAAGAAGAATACAATGCAATGGATATTTTTGTTAAAGAGTCGGTCGAGAGTGTGGAGCTGCGGATTTTTCACTCGTGTCAACTTCCATCACGGGATCAATTTGCAATGGAAAACGATAAATTAAAAAGATAATATCCCGAAATTTAGTTTGAGATTCCAATTTCATTTTTTATCCTAAATCTTTTTTATGGAAACGTTCAATTCAATTTAGAGGCACTCATAACAAATATAAGGTGGGAATTATTTAATTCCAACGCAACAACATTTGGTGTCTTGAAATAGTCTCCGACCTCCCAACCTTCTTCCCTCTAATCGTTCGTCTCCTATCGATCCACCGATCTCCCTCCCTAACTCCTCCTCCCTGCCGATCCCATCATCTCTCGACCGGCGGTGAAGCAGACCTCCCCCGTCCGCCACCATGAGCTCCTTCTCCGGCAATAGCTCAGGTCGCGCCCCCTCATCCGCCGCCTCCTTCGACTCCTACAAGTTCGACTTCGGCCTCGCCGGATCCGCCCGGGGCTCGGCCGCCCGTCCCCTCAAGGACCAGAAACCCAGTCCCTACGTCGCCTCCTCCGCCCCCTCCTCCAAGCCCGCCGCCCCCGCCTGGTCCCACCAGCCCTCTCGGCCCTCGTGGACCCCCGCCGCGCCCGCGCCCTCCGGCGCCTCCGGCATCTCGAGATCTGGCAACCTCTCCAGCACCCCCGCTTCCATGGTCGGTGATATATTCGGCAAGAGCTGGGTGTCGGCCGCGCCCTCTTCCGCCAAATCTGGCCTTGCGATCCCCAAATCTGACCCTAATCTCTTCGGTGATCTCGTTGGATCCGCCCTCGGCCAGGGCCGTGGCGGATCTAGCAACGTTCCGTTGAAGTCCGCTGCTCACAAGAATACCTTCTCCATGGGCAATTTATCCGATTCCCTCCCTAGATCGATTAATCCTACCACCTCCGCCGCTGCTGCGGCCAACAGTACCCCAATGAGGTCTAGCAGCTTGGGATCTTCCGACGATCTTGGAAATTTTCCATTTTTTAATCAGCCTGGTCCTAAGATCGGGACTCCGATGGGTAGTGGTGGGCAACCGATGAAATCGACGGCTGGAGTCCCACCGACGAATGCTAAAAGGGATCCTTTTGGTTCGTTGGTTGATTTTGGATCAAAGCCCACTGCAAAAGCACCGATGTCGTCGGCAAATTCATCCAATATGAGCGGTGCCAGTCCCGGTGCTGATGATTTCTCTTTTGGCGCGTTCCAGAACGCCAATTCGACAAAAAAGAGCGACATTGGAATTAGTGGTGCCAGCTTTTCTTCTCCGCCACCACCACAACAGCCTACTCCCCCTAAAGCTGACACGGATCCATTGGACATGTTCTTCTCTTCGTCTGCAGCTGCTGCTCCTGCTGCTGGAGTCGCCTCAGAGGCATCAGGGAGCCAGCAATTCTCTGAAATGAATGATTGGGACCTGGGTTCTGAGTTTGGAGGACATGACACTGGTGGGTCAACGATGGAGCTTGAGGGCCTGCCGCCACCACCCTCAGGCGTCACAGCACCAGCTGCAAAGACCAAGGGATTGGATAATTACAAGCAGGGCCAATTTGCTGATGCTATCAAGTGGCTTTCATGGGCAGTTGTGCTTTTGGAGAAATCTGGGGACAATGATTCAATGGCTGAGGTCTTATCTTGCAGAGCCTCATGCTACAAAGAAGTTGGCGAATATAAGAAGGCTGTGGCTGACTGCTCGAAGGTGTATTGAAATCTTCAATCTCAATCTTTCAAGCTTTATTTTTGTGAATAATGCATCCTAACTATTGCTGGTTTTGTAGGTGTTAGAGAAAGATACGGCAAATGTCTTAATGCTAGTACAACGAGCACTTTTGTACGAGAGTATGGAAAAATACAAACTTGGTGCTGAAGATTTGAGGATGGTCCTGAAAATCGACCCTGGTAATAGGCTTGCAAGAAGTACAATCCACCGTTTAAATAAATTTGCTGATTAAGATCAATTTGGAGTTCTTGCCCTGCGTCTTGTTTTATTAAATTAGTTGAAAATATAAATTTGTAAGGTTTTTTATTGCTTTTCAATTGGTAAGTTGATTTGGGGATAATTATATATTTGTTGCATGGAAGTGGTGTCATTCTCAATAATTAATCTGAAAACTTTACATGTTTTGCATGTATGTTTGATACTATTAAACTTTTCTGTTTTTATGGTTCTGTTTCTATGCTATATGCCACATTTTTCTTGATTATAATTGCACTGTGTAATATAATAACAGCTTATTACTTTAGCTGTAGTAAGACATAATCATCCTGTTGCGGATTGGGTTTTAATCAAAATGGTTTTTTAATATTTGCAGCATGCTTATAAAAATCACATGATTTTGCTTCTTAAAGAATATACCTGCAAATCTGGGGCTATGATGTTTAATGATGCTTGCCTGGTCCCATGACCATCATTTAGTAACTATGGTATTAGGAGATAATAACCAAAAGATTGAAGAACATGGCTAAAGTTTTAAAAGTCAGATCAGTCATCCTTTAACCTTGATATTGTGGAACAAAGGTTCCTCGAAATTGGAACAAATGTGGACAGCTTGAAATGGGCAATCCTACATGAGATCAGATTGGTTAATTCTTACTAATCCAGTTTGAATCTTTTTTGTTTTCTTTATGTTCTTTTGAAGTTAGTTTATTTTCTCAGATAGATTCCTTTTTCAAATAAAAAGTAAAAGAAACAGAAAACTCTCAACTGCCAGTTGACATCAATAAGTGTCACCAGCGTCGATCTATTGTCATAAGGTAGTTGGCAAGTGGAAGAAGTAAAAAAGGCAAAATCAGAAGATTCAGCTGCCAAATCCAGTTGAAGGTAACGCTAATAAGTAAAACAACAACAACATCAAAATCGTATTGTCCCAACTATTTGGGATCGACTACATAGAAATTTTTCTTTTGCCACCATTGAGCTAGGTAGAAAGCCTTATATCGAATTTTTATTTATAATTTTTAATAAAATCTTTTTAGGTCTTCCTAATTGTTTCATGTTTTCTAGCTACACCAATATTAGTCTCCTTAGCATATGACAATACCATCTTAAGTAATTCTTCCTTGTTTTATCCTTTTATATCATACAAAACTCCTGAAGTCTCTCTCCATGTTAATCATTCAGTTTTTATTCTATGAATTATATCTTCATCAATTTTTTAGTTGAATAATCGATCCAACACACCTAAAACTTTTTTATCTGACTTTACTCCGAGTACTATTAAAATTGTATCTTATAAATTCAATCTTAGACAATCTAAAATCTTTGGTTTTCAAGATTGGTCTCCATAATTTAAATTCTAAATGAATTTCGTTTAAACTCTCATGATCTAAAACAATCTTATCAGCAAATGAAGATAAACCAAGAAGTTCTACTCCATATATGATTTTAATTTAGATCGTTGATATAATCCTTTATGCTAATGGAAAACTTACTGGACACTCCTTGAAGTTATAATACTAGTGACTATGCTATCATACATATCCCCTATTATACTAGTGAAATTCCCATCATAAATTTACAAAAGGGTCAGATTCAAAAGAATAATGACACCCAAGTTGTTAGAATGCCTGCCAACTGTAAATGCTCATGTTCTTTTGCTACTGAAGATTAGCCAAGAACTTGGGAAACATCACCGATACAAGGTTGTGGATTCATTATTTTGCAAGATTATATGGGTTTTCTCTTAAGCAATTTAAAGAACCTATGACTTCCATACTATTTTTATTTTTTCACTGAAGAGACCTGGAATTGCATTTCTGAAGGAGACAATACTTTGGATCCGTTGGAGGATCATAAAAAATTGGTGCTATAGCAGTTTTACGAGTTGAGTTTGGAGATAGACGTGAAGTTCTCTCCTAGTATTTTTGTTTTAAATCCCATTAGACCTAGTTTTTGTATTCCTGCCATCTCCTGATAGTAATTCTGGATAAATGGTTCGAGTTCCTCTTTCTTTATCTAGTTCAAGTTAGAAGAATTGTTTTTAAGTTTCTGGAAAATTTATGGATTCCGATTGGATTATGCATCATTAGACATCCAATTTTACATCACATGAAAGATTTAGTGAAAAAAGTTCGTTTTCACTATGAGATATGTTGGTGAAACGTTCAATTGTTAAATACATCTTAAAAAATATTTGCAGTTTCTGTAAGTGATGATGTTGCCAGATCAAATTGCATATTCATTTGGACAAATTTTGGTACATTTTACTTGACTAGATGGTAGGACTTTTCATAGAGCTCTGCACAGCGTCTCCTGTGGGTTTAGTTACAAAATGAACATGCATCTGAGTGATACCTTTCATCATGACTAATTGTTTCTTGAATTGATCATGATATAGTTGTGACTGGTCCACAAGTATGTCTAATCTGTTTCGGCAAGACTTACACATTGTAGAGAATGATTGAAACGATCATTCAGTGACGGGAGGCCTTCTCTGTAATGGTAAGATCTCTCCATGATCACCCTACAAACCTGTGCATTCTATAACTTGGATTTTTTTTAACTACTGGTTATTTACTCGATCATCCTTCGTCTCTCGTTTCCATTGTTTATATTATACTTGATCTCTCGTTTCCATTGTTTGGCACCTAACATGCATGCTTGCCTCTTTCTAGCCTATCAAAATATGTTGGACCTCTGTAATTTGACAATCTCACTATAGCATAATATTGTCAGTCATAAAGTTGTTTGTTGCCACAATATCAACCTTTTTGAATGATTCGATTAGAAGATCACCAACAATTAGATTGCCTCAATCATGTAATTACTTAATTTTTCAAAGACAATGATACTGGAGACTTGCATCTCTTTCCCCTGTCAAATCATCAATATGCGGACGACTTCCATATCTTAATATTTTCAGCATATCCTGCTTAATATTGAGTTTTTTTTTTGCAAAAGATTTATTGAAACTTCGACCAGATGGTAAGAAGATAACTCTTAGGAAAAAGAATCCACCCACAAAACAGAAGATCTATCTTGCGAGAGCAGTGCAAGAGATTTTGTAAATGTAAGAACATTTACGTAAACCATGCAAGAAGATAACTAAAAACCAGAAAACTCAGGTAAGTAATCATAGGTTGCATAGAGGTTCTGTGCATTTAGAAAAGAATCTCTATATGAACATTGAAGAAGCCAGAAGCTACAACAGCTTGAAGGCCAACTTTAATGGCCAAAACTTCACATTACAAAGGTGGTTAGTCTTGAATACAATAATGATTGATAGATCTCTAATATCTATCTATAAATTTTCTACACAAATGCTTGTATTTATTGACTTCCTACTTTTTTAAATAACCACAATGATACAAAAGAATAAAAGAAATATAACTTGAACACTGCACAAGAGATCCCCATGAAGCAGTGCTGCATGATAACACATTTACAACATAATGGACTGTTAAACCCCATATTTTCTTCTGGAATTGCGAGCACATCCGATGCTAAAAGCTGTCAGTCAATGATTGAGACTGCTTCTGAGTCGGGCTGACACTGCTGCCACGGCTAATCTTGAGCACCTCCATGGCCTTCTGTATTTCCATTTTCATGGCACTGTCGACACTCCCTGCGGAAATTCTTCTGTGAGACTTCTGAAGATGGAGTTTGAGTGAGCTTGTGCTCAGACCAGCATTCTTTCCACAGATCGGGCACACCTTCATCACAGGTCTCTTGTGCTGCCAATTCATAGAAGTTTTTCCGTGTATCCTTCTATCAAGATCTAACAGAATTTTGGCAAAGCCATCGTTCGGCTGAGCTCGGCGGTGAACCTTCTTCAGCGTGTTCCATGCTTCAGATAGTGTGTATCCCCTGAAAATAAAGTTGCACACAAATTTCTTAGACTTGAATTGGCATAGCAGCAGATACACCATACCAGATGTTTTCTCACTTTCTTAGCATTAAGTAAGCAAGGACGACAGTTGCACTGCGACTTTTTCCCTCAAAACAGTGAACCAAAACTTTTCCTCCTGATTGCTCAACATGATCAATAAAATCTGAAGCCTCCTCAAAGATATCACTGATGTCTGTATCTTCTTCATCACCTATCTGGATATGCCATGAGTTTGTGGTCAGACAAATGATTTCAATGGTTGCTTGCATAGGTTCAAAACATTTATTACTCTATAAACACACATTAGAGATGAAGAAAAAGATAAAGAGACCTTTACCAGCTAAAAACTAAAACATTTGCCGACTGTTAATCCCAACATTCATCAAGTTATTAAAGATGAAAACTTTCAGAGAAGATAAAAAAGAACAAAATAAAAAGCATAAATAAACAAGTTATATCAGATGACAGAAAGGAAGCCACTCATATCCTCCGTTTCCTCAAGTACAATGACAAAATGAAAAGGCAAAATTCATAACTTCATGGATGTCATCACTTCATTTCAGTAAAGTTGGCCTTTGAGAAGTCATCAATTTAATATATCAACTCTAAATTCCACTTTTTTACCACTCAAGTAAAACTGTCCACTAGCATGAAGCAAATCCTAAAAGATCAAAGATGACATGAGCAAGGACTACATGAAATCCGAGTGTAATGACCCATAATTCCCAGGGAATAAACCATTTTTTACCTCCCTAGATATCTTCCTAGAAGTGTCATTTAACATATTAAATACATATAAGAAAGACCTACCGAGAAGTTCTTGTACTGAAAAAGGTCCGGATATTGAGATTCTGACTGTCCAGTCTCATTCGAACACAAGCAGAGAATGTGTGTGATGCCCAAGTATTGAAGGGTGTACATTGACCTTGCAGTAAGAGCCCCACCAATAAACAAGTTATTTGTAACAAGAGATGGCCTCTCTGTACTTGCCGCATCAGAAATCAGAGCTATCCTTTCGAGTATATGTTCAAGTCGGACCTGAAAAAGAACAAACGACAAGGTTAAGGGAAGGGAATGAAACAGGTAAAGAAGCTCTACAGTTTACCTTCAACTCGTAAGCATCAACAGCAATATTATTATCACTGCCCTCAAAGAATCCTGTATTGAAATTCTTTTCCTGGCAAAACTTAACCACATCTGCTCGAAGCAGTCCATTCCACAGCTCAATCTCTTTGTTCAGTTCAGTGTCTACCTAAAATGAGCAACATACATTAGCAAAGTGCTGGATATATATATATATATATATATATATATATATATATATATATATAC